CAGTGAGATTCATTTTCAATTATATTCCATATCCAGTGCACTACGTTTTGGTCTTTTCGTAGCAAGGAAAAACAAAAAAATGCTAAAGATACATTTGAATAGTCGAATGAAAATTAATGATCTTTGATAATTCGAAAATTTCACAATTTTTGTTAAATACGATAAAAATGTTTCCAGCAAAATAAATCCAAAGTCTGTCAGATCGGATATCAAATTTAAAACGCCTGAACCCAGTGTTCCTGTAATTCGAAGAAATCGCGTGACACCCGTCAAATTGGGTTGCTGTTTTACATCCGTAAAATAAGCACAACCCCGGACTTTTCTACCAGAGCGAGGAGAGGCCGCTTTCAAATATCAACCTTGTCGTACTGGAAAGCACGCATTCCTCTTCGGAAATACCAATTTTACCAAGCTTTCCTCATACTCGAGAAAACAAGAAAAGACAAAGCAATCTAAATTTCTGCTCGTTTCAAGTATCCGCACGATAAGAGAGAAAACTGTTAAAAATATCAGACAAGATAAAATATAATTGTATCCCAATAGTATCGCGGTCTGAACCCCAGTACAAAAGGGCTGTCAAAAATACCATCATAGGACCAAATAATAAATAGCACGAGCCTAGTCCAACATACGTCTCCGTGATAAAAAAAAACGTTAAAACCCATGTTGAAAAAAAAAAAAAAAAAGAAAAAACTATGACAATCAACAGAGCCCAAAGCCCTGGCGAAATAAACACGCGAATAAAAGCCAGAAGGACTTTTTCGCAGTCGCGAACGACCGTCAAGTAGGAGAATTTAAATTGCGGCCAGTGCATTGCCTTTTCAATGGCAGTGCGAGTGACAGCGGTGCACTGTTGATTTACGAGTGCAGTGCAGAAAAGTGTGGAGCCTCGAGAGCTGCAGTGATGCCTCTTGACTCGTCCGACTGTAGCATCGGGTTCGGTGCATGCAAGATGCACCGGAATGCAGTTTAACTATGTAGATACAAGAGAAAATTTCATCTATCTCTTAACGCACATGCATTTATCTATTGTGTGTGAGCATCCATCAAGTCGACGTAACGTTGCATAAGAATATATTGGAATTTGCCGCTGGTTAATAGAAATTCCAAAATCACCTCGAAATCTCTACTAATTCAAATTTCTCCTCTGGTCCCCAATCTATTGGCCAATTTCATAATTCCCCGCGTCCCAAGCAAAGCCAATTGTGAGTTGACCCATTAATCCCTAGATTTCACGAACATAGTGACTACTAGAAAGTCACCAGAATCTAATCTTCTCGAGGGCAGCTCATAAGCCAGGTCTTGGATCATTCGCACTGCGCCTCCCTCCGATTTTAGACAAGACCGAACCACGTGTTCTGCTCCCCATTGAATTTCACGCGAGCTGTCAGGATTCGATTAAATAAATAATCCATTGAATTGTGGGTCGATTCGCGAATGTTTTCCTCGTCGCCTCGAACAACGTTTAGGATCGCCCGTAGGCGCAATGCGAAGAAAAGGCAAAATATTGACTGCGTCCACTGTTTCATTTGAAGCTGGCTCTGATGGCCATCCGGCCGAGTAAATAAATAAACAAAGCCACGTGTCAAAGTTTCAATCTGTCATCCGCAATGCTTTGCCTTCGCGTTATACGCTGTAACGTAGGACATTTAATACAATGTGGGTAGAAGAGTACGTATTTTTTTTTTTTCCTAACAGATCCAAACCACTCAAATCTCTACAAAGCGACACGTGTCTTTGAATGTAATTTCGTTTTTACGTCATTTCATGTATAGTCACGTGTGATTTGTTTACGAATTCATTGCTGGCTGTCAAACAAAGAAATGCATTAAAAGCCCAAACAGACTGTACGTATCGTTACGATATATTTTTGTTTTCTAAATATTTTAAATAGCTGCAGACGCTTTCGTTCGCTATCGATAACAAAGGCTACTAACGCGAATGGAAGTTTTAATTTAAGAGTAATTAAAAGTCACGTGGCCACGTTATATGCACCCTATGTATATATAATGTTATGTGCCATATCTGTTAGACTACTCCACAAGAGTATAATGCCATTCGCTAATTATAGTCATCGAAATATCTCGTGCAGCCGTCGCGGCCATTAATTGCACAGCATAATTGCGCTTTCCATAACGATCGCCCACTCTGTCCCCAGAATCGGTAATTGCAGTTCCTGCCGTAAGAAGACTCGCTCCCACGGAACTTCCCCTAAGAACCACCTTTTTCAGTCTCGCCGTAGCGCTGAGACGCATCACTTTTCAATTATCCGTGGTCTTTGCCAAGATTTATAATCATTTACGCGATTAATTATCATTAATCGAGAAGCTGCGTATAATGATACCGTGTGGATGGTTCGCGCAGCGATACGAAAAAAAAAGCAAATTACAATCGAACCAATTTTCACTTAACTAAGAAATATGTAGATCGACGTGGCGGCAATGAATTTTGAAAATAACGAAGCCACATTTTATCGAGATGTATCTATCCATGCGAATATGGAGAAATTGACCAAAAATTTTCCTATACCATCAGAAAATGATTTTCCACAAAAAAAAAAAAAAAACACGCAATGTGCCGTATCTCGAAATGAAAGAAATATTTTAAAAATTTATTCCAACGAAAAATCGAGCCCCCTCGAAACCATAAAACTGTTGTCCGAAACTTTTCCCCCTATCTTCATTAGTAACTCAAACGATCTAAGTGTGGATTTTCGGTGAGACACCCTGTATATCGAGCAATAAATTAGATTGGCAAGTATGGAGAACGAATGGGGCAATCTCTGCTCGATGTAATTCGGTAGGAGCGCTGTTGCCAAATTAAAAGACGTTATGAGAGGGCAGAGACCGTGAAGAGAGGGGAGAATTTTTATCCAGAAAAAATCGAAATTTTGTCGAACAATTTTTTTTAGAAAGCTTGAAAAAAGGAGTAAGAAATATCATCTCCACGAATAATTCACCTGGTGAATTCTACGGAACAGAAGGTTTCGAAGATAATCTTAAGGGCTGTTTCTATTTACTCTGGAGCCAGGAACTTGGAGGATTCTCGCAGGAGATTAACTCGAGCCGCGGGCGAACGAAGATTTTCTTCACATTTTTCTTTCTCCCATCAACTTCCCACGGGAACTTGTGCGAGAAAACTTTAACGGAATGTTTACGAAGGCCAAAACTATATAGCGATATATAGGGATATGCCATTTATCCCATCCTTCTCGCTGTAAGGTGACGTATATATATATGTACAGGGTTATTCACGGGAAACGCGCCAGCTGAAATTGGCCGTGAATGGGCGATTTCGTGAATTGGAGCAGGGTGACGTCATTAAAGAAAAGAAAGTTAACGTCGTAAAGTTTTCGAGATCATGAATTTGACATTATTTATTTTCTTCAACCAAGCCAGACCGTCTCGTTTAACAGAATTCTTCAATCGCGTCCAACTTCAGCCGATGCGTTTGCCGCGAATAACCCTGCATATATAGATATAGGGTTATTCAGGCCAATTTCACCGGACAAAGCTAGCCTGTTCATTTGACTTCTATGACACAATCACCTACTCTGCGTTACGTTTACTGAATAACCCTGTATATATGTATATCATACCAACAATTTGGAATTGCTTATTATTATCAGTAGAAATGTTCAGGGTGAAAGTGCCATTGGACCTTTTGTCATGTACGAGAAACAAAGAGAAAGCCCTACTGGCGCTCGTGCTTTGCCTTTCCGTAAATCCAAATTGCGCGATCCAGCTTCTACCTCAGTCAAAAAGGTTAGAAACAGTCGTCCGTTAAATCCTCAAATTTCGACATTCCCAAAACTCATGTTTTCTCGTTCGCCACAGCACTATCAAAGTTTCCCATTACACGTTTACCCGTCCTATTTTTTTTTTCTTTTTTTTTTTTAATGCGCACCTCAATCACGAGACTCGGTCGTTATGGCGCGTTTACACGATACCTGCACAGTTCGATAAATTTTGAAGCCTTAATGGAAAAGGCAGAATCGTTAGAAGCACGTTTATCCCTATTTGAGGATTAATCGGTCCGGCAATACCGTTCATGGAGTATAAAACAGAAGCGTAGAAAGGG